TTTTTTTTTTTTTTTTGGGAACCCATTAATGTTTCTTGTTTATTTCAAACTTTTTACCACAGTTGATGATATGTTGATTTAGTATTTGACCTGGGTTTGGGTTAGTTCTTGCTCCTTATGCTTAAAAATCTAATCTTTATCTGTTCTGGTGTCTGTGTTATGCATTGAGATTTGGACTTTTAGAGATTACTGTGTGTAAGAAGTTGGAGTATTTGACTGGAATTGCATATCTGGTAAAAAATTTTGATAAGTAGAAACATGGGTTTTGTTTGGGGAAATGCTACGTTACGGTACCATCATGTCGGGTGTTTTAACCGTTGGATCCACATGTAGTTAGATATGATAGACGATCTAACGGTTAAAACACCCGAGGGGTGGGTACCGTAACGGGACCGTAACATTTCCCTTTGTTTGGACTCGATGTCTCGAGTTATTGAATATTGAATAGCAAGCTAAAAAATGCTACTGAAATTAATGGAGCAGTTTTTGGTTATTTTTATGTAGTGGGGTACCCTTTTTTCACTGGGAGTTTTAGCATCAGGCTCACTAGTTAGCTTAGCTCAATTGAGTGATATTCTGATTGAGGTTTTTCAGGTTTCCTGTTAAGCATAATGTGGTGCCTTTTTGACAATTTTATACTTTTTTGGATGCATTTATTGCAAAAACTTGTGGAAATTCTTTCTTTATATGATGATCTTTAACAGGTCCTTACGAAGGAGGTGTTTGGAAGGTAAGGGTGGAACTCCCGGATGCTTATCCATATAAATCTCCGTCCATTGGATTCGTAAATAGGATTTACCATCCAAATGTTGATGAAATGTGAGTTTTGCCAATGCAATATGCTTAAATGTTCATCATTTTTTGACCGGTATTGGTAATTTTTACACGAAAAAAAAAATCCATGCTTGTGTTCCAGGTCAGGCTCTGTTTGCTTAGATGTTATCAATCAGACATGGAGTCCCATGTTTGGTTAGTTAAAAAATTACCCATTTTATTTATTTATTTATTTATTTATTTTTTGCAGATTTTGGCCCTTGAATATTCAGTGTGATGTTTTTTTATGAGCTAAAATTGTTTGTTTATTTCTTTTCAGACCTAGTAAATGTTTTCGAAGTTTTTCTTCCGCAACTTCTTTTGTACCCAAACGCGTCTGATCCGCTGAATCGAGATGCGGCAGCTTTACTGATGGGTAACCGTCCGGCATTCGATCAAAAAGTCAAAGGTATAAATTATAATCTTCTGTTGAGTAAAACTTTGGTTGTTGCTTTTTGGGCTCGTTTATCTATTGTTCAAATCATTCCCAAAAGGCCGACAGATAAACAAGTGGTGCTTCTTTCTGAATATCACTCGAGTTATATATGCATTTCCACGTATTTGTGGAAACATGTCAACTACTGTCCCCTTCTTGCTATTTACTATGTTAGAAATAGCTATACGGTACTTTTGTACTTACGAAATTGAGTCAACTCAAGGGGACCTGCAAATTATATGCGTTTTTGTCGATAAAATATTGAGAAAGATATGCTGAAATGCTATTTTTTTTTTCACTTTTAATGCTGTCAACTGAGAAACGCGAATTTTTTCGCGTAAAGGTTTTGAAGAATACTTTGCAAAAAAATATGATCCTTTCCTGAGTGGATCATCTCGGAAAACAATCTACAAATAAAAAAAAACTCAAAATGAACAAAATAGAATATCTGCCAAAATCCGAAAAAAACTT